ACCTGACTTCCTAAGTCTGCATTAAGCAAGTCGCCGCTTAAAATGTATCCACATTAGTACTAGTATATGCATGGGTGTAATCAAAACTCAATTGCTTGACAGACTTAAATGAAGAGTTATGCATCCATCAAAAATTACAGAGAAAACATAAAGCTTCACATTACCAGTTCTTGCCAAACTCCCAGATAGGTAACAAGCATTGAGGGCTTCAATCTGAACCACCAAGACATGACCCCCTCTTACAAGGAACGTCATTAGCCCTTGGTTTACTCTAGAGAAGCCCTGATCCAAAATCAACGAACATTCAACAACTGAACAAATTTGAAGTAGAAAATGGAATTGAATAAATAACTTCATCCAATTCAAATAGTCTGTTCCCTAAAATCAAAGGCCTCCTTCCAATGTTTCTTCATTCCTTCACAATCATCCGATGTTAGCACATGAACGTTGCATTTGATGGGTTATACTGATCCCTTCAAGGTTCAGCATAATTACATCCAACTTTACAACATTAGACTTTATCCAATCCAGAAATTTCTTTTCAAATTACATACCTCTTCTTACTGCTCAAGAACCCTAAGTCTCAGACTGAAAGAGCAGCGTGCATAGTAGGATCCTCTTTCTTTCGCCACTTCATTCGCTACTTCAGGTCGTTGAACTGCCAAAACTCCATACCCTCTATTAGGACTGCAATCGAGAAAGTGAATCTTGAAGTACCTCGTCATAGCATGCTTCCCCATCGATCTATTTCGCGACGGAAGACGGCATCAGATGGATCTATCTGCTATCCAGCGAGCACCAGTAGTGCGGGAAAGAGATATATGAGGAGAAGCACTATAATGAAATATGAGGTCATTGGAGTTGTCGACATCGTCGGTAGTCTGAAAGATCTGAGCAGCACTGGGCATCGTCGTCGACTGCAAAGTGAGGGAGGCAAGATTACGGTCGGAAGTTGACGGATATGTTGTAGCTGGGCAAGAGAACCCTTAGATATGGAGGCAAGCTAGAACTTGGGTTCTGATTTCATAGAAGTGGAGGGTTCTGGAATGGCGAGCAAGGGATTTTGTGAAGGAAATCGAATTGGGAAAAAGGCATGGAAAAGAAAATTGAGAAACCGATGGCAGAATTTGGGGGTGAATCTGACTGGCAAAGAAAACAAGGTTTGTTTCCATTCTTCAGATGAACAAACAAAAGGGAAAGTTGAAGAACTGAGAGAAGGGTTCTGGCAGTAGGAGTTGGAGAAGGTTCGGATAAGTACAAGGAACTAGTCGGGAGGGATGGAGAAAGAGGCATGAGAAGAGGGAAAGAAAATTGATTTCAGGGAGCCAAAAAAGTGGCGGGCCAAAGCAAAATTTTGCTTCTTGTTTCGATTTTAGGGAGCCAAAGAAGTGGCGGGCCAAAGCAAAATTTTGGAGCCAACAAGAACTTAGCTCTTCTCAAAAAATTTAGAAATGGCGGGCTTAGTTCTGCTGCTGGACGGTTTCTTCCGCCAAATCGATTTTTTTGGAGGCAAAGCCAATTTGAGCTAAAGGATATTCTTCCTCCCAAAATTTGGAATAATTTTTTTAAAGGTAAATTTTTCATTGTTCACGATATTAACCATGACTAACAATTAATCACCGGAAACGAAAACTAAAAAATAGTTAAATTAATTACCGTGATTATAGCTATACAATTAAATACGGTATTTTTTATTGTGACTGTTAGCATACTTCTTAATACAGGAAAAATTACCGTGAATAAGATACTGTGACTAGAAACCAGTTTTCCTGTAGTGTTGAGCTCGGCCACGACTTGGGCTTGACTAAAGTTGAAAATTTCCAATGGAAATGAGAATACATCGATTCTTTCTAAGCATGTATAACATCAATATATGTAAATCTTGTATCTCGTTTTGTTTCTCGGTAACTCCTTCCAGTTCATATTATGCCCTATGACATTTCCCTACAGTTTTCATATCCAAATTATTGGAAGGTTACTATTCAAGATTTATATCTGATCTACCCAATTCACGACAATGGTTGTCAGGAGGTCAAGTTTTGATAGTTAGTAAGAAAATGACACTAACGATCGTGTTTGGTTAGTGATAACAATCATAACCGGAGATGCTTTATTGACAAAAATAGGAACATCCATCAATTGGAGTGAAAATCCGAGGCTCAGTCAAGATATTTTAGGAAAGCTGGGGGCAGTTTGGGGCCAAAACATTTCTAGGCATTTCCATATTTGGCTTAATTCTTACGGTTTAGGTTTAAAGAGGGGCCCTAAGCTATTTTCAAATTTCAATTAAGACTTAAGTGCTCCATCAATATGTGTACTGTTGACAACGATATCATTGTCTTCATTGCAGACTGTAACCAACATCCAATGAATACAAATAGGGGAAAATATAGAATAATAGTAAGACATTTTTTGGTTGGAATAGTATAATAAGACTTAAATGTTGTTATCATGATAATATTTATAAAAATAACAGTAAAATGAATTAAAGGGAAAAATACCCTAGTAAATAAATTGAAATTGTATTAATGTTATATTTTCTTAAAAATACTATCTTATTTTTATATGTGCCTTTTCATATCCTATCATTCAGGCCCCTTCTAAGATTTTGAAAATTTATAAAAAACCCTCGTAGCCAAAATTGTGCATTCCTTCTCAGGGGTGTTCAAACGGTGTGGTTACCGCGGTAACCATTTTAACCAGTAGTATTTGTCTAATTTGGTTTGTGTTAATTTGGATAATTGGTTTGGTTAAAAAATTTAGCTTGTTTTGTTTAGTTGGTTTGCTTGGGTATCAGACACTTCTAACCAATCAAACCAAATTAACCAGTTAAGTAATTACCCACATATCTAATGTATATTATATACACATACTTAATACTTGGAATAGCAACTCAGGAACCAAACATTCCTTCCTTTTAGGCTCATCAACAATAAAGTTTAATATTGTTCATCTACTATATATTTGTATTTATTGAATGTAGACCATGATATATGAATACCCAATTTAGATAATACTCATATAATATATTAGATGAAAATTTGAAATGAAAGTATTCTGCGAGTTTTCAACAAACCAACAAACCCATGTAAGTAACAAGACACCTTCTTAACATATGAATGAATTAACATAGAGAATACCCTCATGGGTACACGGTTTGTTCTTAACATCAAGTGGAGCTACTTGTAGTCTTAGTAGACTTGTAGCTATGAATTTGTAGTTCTAGCCCCACTAAAACTCATTATTTTGCCAACACACCCCACATTTTCCTCCACGCTTGGTCTGCATTCCTTTGCAATAGGTAGGAGTTACAACTTACAAGGATGACTGACATTTTAATAGCAGGAGTAAGAGAGGAACTAGAAGACTGGTTAGTAATTAATCACGTGTAAATTAAGAGTTAATTACTAATACAACCCTTTATGTTTAGGGTTAAGATTCGGCTCCACTATATAAGTTGAGGAGGCTGAAGGAGTTTGTAATTTTTTGATCTCTTCTTCTTCATCTTCTTCAGGTTAATAAGATTGACTTTGAGAGCTTGCTCTTTGTGGACGAGTCTCAACGATACTCGCTTGGGAAATCGCGTAAATCTCATATGTGTTTCGTTCTTGTTCACATTCTCGAATAATTCTACATGGTATTATAGCCTTCTCATATTCTTGTGACTTGATTGTGTGTATTTAGGGTTGCGTCATTGTTCTATTGTAGCTAGTAGACATCTTTCTCTTTCTTGATTTGCCTCTTCCTGTTCACGGTGTAAGGAAGTGGTTAAGTACCATACATGTGCTTGTATAAGATCCAGCATAACCTTCTCCCAACAACTTGAGTTATTGGGACCAACTGGTTTATGACATGGTATCAGAGCAGGTTTGTCCGTGAGGTCACTTGTTCAAGTTCTCACGACCCCCAATATTAACCGTTCTCTTTATGGGAATTTCAGTTGAGGATATTAATTATTTAGTATCCCTGTAAAACTCTCATGTTATGTGATTGTTTCAATTCCGCGACATCAAATTCTACATGGTATCAGAGCGAAACTCGATCATTCTCTAGGGTTTGAACTTCCGCAGTCATCCTTCGTTGTCTCTCCGACAAAATCGACTTCAATCAGTCCGCAGTTAACATCTGTTGTATCGACGTCTCCTTCGTCCTTCCATTCCCGGAAGTAAGCGATAATAAGATGCACTCGGCCGTAGCTTGCATTGCATTTATTCGAGTGCATGTAATTAAAATTTTAAAATCTCAAATTTGAAATAAGCTACACTTGAAATTTATTGTTCGTCTCACCAAAAAAAAAATGAAATTTATTGTTCGAATTATTACAAAAAAATATTGTTCGACTATTTATTTTCAACTTTATGTTAAGTATTTTTAATGTCGTTTACCATCCAAACAAAGTAAATATTTAAAAACTATAGTTCCAAATTATTAGGTATTAGACTTCAGCACGTAAACTTTAATAAAGTGTACATATAGGTCCCAACAAATGTTGGAAAATTGCATTAATACCAATTGTTTTGAACAAGATATTACCTTTACTTATAAAAGTAGGAAAAAAAAATCCCAACTACCTGCTACAATGAATTCCAAATTACTGCTTTTTCACAATTTAAAATTCATAAATTAGAATTATTAAGTCCCAAGTTCAAAAAAATTACCATAAATCGAAATTACTGTTCCTTAAGAAAAAGTCAGAGTTTACTGTTCACGGAGGGGGTTTTATGATCACATGCGGGTGTTTTCATGTACTATAAATGATATGTTAAATATGTAATTGAATTCCACAAATCTATTTGGGCAAATCCAAGTACAGTATTCACTTATCATCAGTCCAAAAAAAATGATTCGGTATTTAAAATGTCAGACACTAAATTTCCAATACAAACCATCGTTTGAACTGATAACTGGCTGCAAAAACCAGTCTGCATGTAATCACGGAAATCAGTGTTGGCGCATTGTGGTCAAACTTTGTCAAATATATAACATAACAATAAAACCAAATTAGTCTGGCAACACTCGACATCTCCCAAGCCCCATAGTTTCACTGCAAAACTCTATCAACTAACAATAATAATACATGTTACAAGGAAGTAATGCCTGTATACGTTCTTGTATTGAAGCTTTTTGATGATTTTTACATCTACATGAATTAGGGTACAACGTGAGGGGGCATAAAAGAATGAACGAATGCTAAGTTGTGTATACTCAATTACCGACGCATATATCGAGCTGTCTTGCCATCTTCCATAGGAAGGCACACAGTTCCTCAGTAACTGGAAGTTGAATCTTTCCAAGCCAAAAAATCATGCCATTGAGACCCTGCAGAAGGTGCAGGATCCAGATGCACCGGTATGACAAAAGTTCCTTTTCATTCTAGCCAAAATGCATACCGGTTGACTGGAAAGAATCTGAAAGATTTGGCAGCTTGAGAGTTGCGATCACACCAGCTGCCAAAGAGGCTATTGAAGCAAGGACAAAGGCAGGTACATTGCCTCCACCAAATAATGCGTCCCATGGACCCGCACCAAGGGACACTATCATCTGAAAGCAACCAAATCAACTCCAAGAGATCAGCAAAGCGCAGAAAGATACCGAGGCAAGCAATGGAAAATATTGATGTTCTACCTGAGGAACAACAATTGCGAGATTGAGAACTCCGATGGCCAGTCCTGGAGAAACACAAACAAAATTAGGGATGACGATCTCTAGTGTGCTGGCATTAAGTGGAGAAAGAAATGTTAGATGGAAGGTCAACCAAGAGTACAAACCTTGGCCACCACCAGAATCAGCTGTCAACTGAGCTGTAACTGAGAAAGGGACGCTATACGTTATCTGTCAGAAGCACACGGTCAGTAAAGGGCTGTGGAGAAAGAAACCAAATATGGAAGATCTTGTAACGGGGAAATAGTACGTACAGCAAGAGGAAATCCAAGAAGAGCAAAAACAACTAAAGAAGCTATCTTGATCGCAGAATTCCCTCCAATAAGATGCTCAATTCCCCTGGAATATTCACTCAGAGATATCAAGCTAATGACGGAAGTAGTGGCCATGCAGGCGAAGACAATGAAATTGCTCATCGCCCATACAAGTCTTGCCCCCATCTTCTGACACATTGGTTCAATAAGGAAAGAACTGATGCCAAGAACAACCTGTTCCAAAATTTGAAGAGAAAGCAAAGAATTAATAATAGGAAGGAAGAGAACCTAATCGACACCATGTTGCAAAAGGATTTGAATGCACATTTCCCAAGATCGTTCCACAAAGATATAACGGAAGCAGTAAATCAGTGGCTTTGAGGTTTTCCTTGACATCAATACTTAACATCATGCAGCGTGTGTAAGGAAAAAAATTCAATAGACAGCCTCATTAATATCCTAATACTCGACTCACTTTCATACTTTCTTCCTCTTCAGCCATAGTCATTTTGCCAAAGGCAAACCTTTTAAACTTGTAATTCAAGGATATATGACAAAAGCGAACGTCATAAGAATGCAAGGAAGAACACAGTATGTAAATAGTAAGACAACTGAGGCAGGGAGTCAGATTCATAATCCAATATGTCCTACTGATGTCTGGGCAAGTAGCTAACATGCTCAAATTCGAGTTCTTACAGAGTTCAATAGCAAACCAAATGCACCTTCTCTGACACCTTGATCATACATGTTAATCACCACAGCATCCCCCTTTGGATCTCCATGATAAACTTCTCTGCCCATCCAATCAGTATCGAAAAGAAAGAAAGGGAACCACGATAACTGCAGATAAATGAGACATATAAATTAAGTGAACTTTCGCAGCAGTTCCTATGAATGAAGATGCATTTGGTATCATGCTAATCAGAAATACCACAAAGCTCTGAGAGTAACTGACAGATAACTGCACAAGTGAAATCCTTACCCAGGTAAGAGCCATAACAACAAGTACTGCATGCATCCCAGGGGGTAAATGCCTCAAACTGGTCAATAATTTCACAAGAACTGCTCCGGGGCCATCATCAATACTTTCACTCGCATCACCCACATGTTCGGCATGATTATGAATATAATTCTTCTCATACCCGTTTCCTGTATTGTTCGCACTAGGATTTCCTATATGTTTATTATCCGAATCGAATTTTGATAGTTCAATGCCATTTTGTTTAGGACTACGCAATAATGGAGCATAATCTGATGATCCACGAGGCTGGCTTGCACTGAGTGGGACTTCATCCGCAAAATAAAGGGTCACAAGTGTGCAGAGGGTTAGAAATACCTGCAAAGACATCACGAAGACGTTACTCTTTCTCCTCGAGAGGTCTTCAAAGTTAAAGAAATTTATTATTTCCAGGTCCAGACTGTCGCCACATATCTCAAATCAACGACAGTTTTTCAGCAAGTTCAACCCATTCGAAATGGCATTCAAGAACTTTGTAATATAGAAACTTTTTAAATTATCTCCGCCGAACAGCCCACAGAACTATTTTTAGCGGAAGGCTCAGATAGAAGCGAAATTAACACAAAACAGCTCGATATCCAGGCGACCAGATCTCATCTTAACAGTTCAGTAAAAACATAGCTTAAGACTAAGGTTCAGAGGCAATCGGTGCCCAGAGGAAAATATGTTCTCATTTGCTGTCACTTACCACTGCTACAAGAAATGCTGCTTTGAGATTTCCACAAGCTTCGCAACAAGCTCTACTCATCAGAAAAGGAAACCACCTGGCAAGAAAAGATCATCAGAAAAGAACAATCAGCTAGGAATCTGAATGACAAAGGCATAGAGCAATAAAAAGAATATGACTAAGTATCTTATGCCTGGTCTAGCATTTCTAATACTTTATACTCAGATAGACAGCTACTGATGCTAAGCACAGAGATTTTCAAGATAAACATGGGTGCATGCATTTGCTCAAAGAATAGTCATCCTGCTAGACAAGCTTTTGATTAATTTACCTGTTCCAACTACCACTGGCACCGGCAGAAAATCCAAGAATGTTTCCAACAGCCATCCACAAACAAAAAATTGCATTTGCTGTGTTGCGTTGATCAGGGCCTAAAACAGATGATACCAAAACATCAATTATATGTCAATTGCATCATATTAGACCAAACATTCCACATCTTTCGCCACCAGAAGATGGTAAAAAATGGTCACACAAAAGGAAAACGCATAGAGCTTAGATAGAACCTCACCTGATAAGTCGGCCAAAAGAGCTCGAGCTGGTCCCTGTGGAAAAAGTTAAGGCTGCGTGATTGCTGCGTCTTTTTGACAAAGAAATGGAGGCAAATAGAACCATGTTAAGGGGAGCTTACCTGAACTGTATTATTAGCAAGATCCAGCATCCAGAAACCAATAACGAAGACAATTGCTGCCCAAGTTCGAGTTCCTTTGAATGTACTGCATGTCCAATAGGAAATTGGTTAGTTATAAGCTCATATCCAGCCGAAAAATACAATGCAAGGAGCTGAGAGTAAGAGCAGAAACCTGCAATGTTCTTTGGTATCGCCTAACAAATACCCTATGTCTGCAGAAAATCCGATAATTATCACCTAAATTTGCAACACTTAGTTTAGCTGAGCAGAGAGTGCAAAAACAGATAATAAAATGTGGAGTAAAACAAGAGTACTCACGGCAATGGAGATCATTAGTGATCCTGCAAGAATATAAGGGCGTCTCCTCCCATATTTTGAGGTGCACTTATCACTCCAAATACCAACACAAGGTTGCACCTATGGAAAATAAATGTAACAATCAAGGCAGACCTGAGTTAAGCATATATGCTATATGACATAAATGAGTGTTATTTTGTATTCCATGATAGTTTGGTTAACAAAAGACTGTTTCTTTGAGTCATTAGATGCTCAGCTAATAATAAGACCAACAAGTATGTGACAAGCTCCACCAAGTGCACCAATACTAGATTTCAGGATGATCAACTTACCACAAGGCCTGTGATAGGTCCACAGAGCCAAATGAATGATGAAAAAGCATGCTCTATTCCAAGTGTCTGCAAGGAAACATAAAACCAAGGTTAACAAGATTATGGAAAAAGCTCATAGTGAACTAAATTGGAAGCAAATGCATCAAAACGGAAACAAAACCCATTTCAATTAACCGTCAAAACACAACAATTTCAAAGATTTAACAGCACAAACTTTACGAATTCAGCTTGTAGAATTCAGTTTCCCGAGAGCTCAGCGCCAAACAACTAAAACATTGGGTATCAAACCTTACCAGAACCAAAAAGAACACAACAACATGCATACGCGTAATTCGCTAGCGATAACAACATCCTCACTTGCCTGAATATATGGAGTCAGAAGAGACAGCTGCAGCGCCCAACCAAACTGAACCCCGGCGGCGACCGTACAACTAAGAACAAGAGTAGCCAGGCTACAATGCTTGGGCGCCTGCGATCTAGCCTCGGTCGTCGGCGAAGAGAAATTGGAGTCGGCGCCACCGGGATTCGACGATCGAGGAACCGGAGAATCCAACTCGATCCGCTGATTCGGCTCTTCGTCGAGGTCGTCCATGCTCGCCATTTCCACCTCCGCATCCTCCCTCAGGTTCTTGTACGGAACCCGAATCGACACCGCCTCCATTTCTCGAACTTCTCTCCTCTCCGACGACTTTCACGATTGCGAGAACTGCTTGCGCATTTGACGAGTTTTCACGACTAATGCCGACGAGATTCGCCCGCTCCCGGCAGATCTGATACGGAATGCGAATACGATCTTCCTTCCCGTCAAAATTCTTTGGGGCGGGTGCAAGGCGAGAGAGATTGCTGTGTGCGAGCGAGGCTACAAACAAAACGACCAAACTGTGCGGGAGAGACTACGGCGTTCGGTCGAGCCAGAGTACTCAATCCGGTGCACCGCGGAACAATTGGATGGTGTAGTCGCACGAGTAAGATAGACGTAAAGGCGCGAATTGACTTCAATCATAGCCGTTGGATTCATCGCGTGGAAGTTGGAACTTTCATCACTTTTCTCGCAAAAGGATGGCCAGTGATGTGAACCCTCCACCGACGCCGTCAATTAGGGGTCGTTTGGAGAACAGGATTCAGGACATAGATTCATTGAATCCGAAGATTTTGTAGAAAGTTATGTTTTTTTGTTACTTTTTGTATTGTGGATTCTAGCTTTAGAGATTTCAAATCTCTAAAATCCGCGGATATCAAATCTCTCCTAATCAGAGAGATTCTATATCTTGATTCGTGAGATTTTTTCTCTCCTAATTTTTCTCTTTCTTTTATTTATTTATCACATGAAATATATTTATCAACAAAGTTTTTTTATATTTCTCGAACCACTCTAATTTTATTTATTAAGGATAAACATGTTATTTAATATAAAATAAATTTTTTTATTTTACTTGATTGTTAACAATCACAGTTACCAAACAATAAACATTTTAAAATCTGTTTTCAACAATCTAGAGAGTTAGAATATTTAGATTGTTGACAATTTATAGATTTGAAACTTAATTTGCTTACGTCGTAAACTAATGGCCCCACCTTTGAAAATTCTTACTTGGAAATGAAGCATGGGAGACAATTTAATCTTCGTCCATTCCATCCGTCTGTCAGGCAGCAACGGTTTGAAAATGTCATGGTCGCTTATTCAGAGTCTATACGATTAATTTAGACAATTATTTCATGATTTGTGTAAGGATTCGCGAGGTCATTGACGATCTCCAGCTGGCCTAATAGTTTAGACATTAGAATGCAATGTATCTCGATTCGACAAATAGCTCTCTCGCTTCTCATAGTCAAGGATGAATCGATTCCGATACCCATCATACTGGCTTTGTTCGTCAATTTAGCAACTTCTCCCCAACACGAATGGATGGTGACGAACGAATCTATCGTGCATATCATGAAAATAACTTATTGACAAATCATTTAGATAGTAGAAGCATCGTCGTGCTTTTAATCTTATATCTATCTCTGTTTTAAACTCTATAGTTCGCTATTGAAATTTACATTATGCAATTGGAATATCTACTTTCTATGCTAATATTATGAGGTTTTAAATAAAAGAAAATAAACAAACGGTGTTGATGAATCTGAATTTTGCTCTTCCGATTTTTTTTTTTTTTTTTAATATTAACAGCTTGATAGTCAATTCTGTCATACTCATCAGTCATCGCTCATCCCTTATCAACAAATGTTTCAACGTGGTAAATGTTTCAACCCTTTCGCTTCCCAACAGTCGAGCAGAACGTGTTCTATACAAAGAGCTTTCATTTCAGCCATAAAAAATAAGCTGGGAGTTCTAGATTTGGACAAACCGGACCAGAATAGGCTCAATGCTGCTGGGCAGCCCGGCTACCCAAATCAGAAGCGTAATTAGAAGCCCGATTCAGAGCACCAGACACCCAAAGAGCGCCCTTAGAGAAGTAGCTACTGTTGATAACAGTGTTTGCTGCTGATGCTGCTGTTCTCGCTGTCGCGGATACTGCTGATTTGGTCGTCTCGGAGACGTGGTACTTATCGTCCACGGCTTTAACTGCTTCCATCCCGGCAAAGAGCTTGTCAGCAAGGCCGATTCTCTCGGTGAACTCGGCCACCTTTGCTGTTGCGGTTGCTGAGACTTGATGGGACTCGTCGAATTCTTTAGCCTTGCCTAGTGCATCTTTCCCCAGGACGTACCCCATGGCTAGCATTTCTTTCACCACTTCCTGAGCCTTTGTCACTGCTTGTCCTGCATCGCCGACGAATTGGCCTGTTTGCTGGTGTTGCTGCTGTGGAGACAACAGGGTATGTTACAGAAAAAAGTTGGTACAGAATCGACCAACTCAAGCTTCTAGAAAGTGTGGTAGATGGAGATCAGAGATGTTCTTACAGTCGGTTCACTTTCATAATCCGTTGTTGTTGAAGGCCTGTTCCAAAAATCGAATTCGTCTTCGTAGTGTCCCCAGCGTGTTATGCACACTCGTTCTTCCAAGATGGTAGCACCCTGAAGTCACAAGATGCAGAAAGAAAGAAAAAATTATCACAAAGCCATAAGGAAGATATCCTGAAAGTGTAAGCATCGAGCTCCACTGGGATAGCTCGCTTAAATGAAGACTACATTGTTCATGGAACAAATGCACAAGAAGACACTCCACTGCAAGTGGACATCTTGAACTTATCAACATCCATGGCATGCACCAAATGGGTTTAGCAGCTGCCGCGGCAGATGGCAATGACCTCATTCGTGCTGGCAAACCGACTAACTAGACAAAGTACAAGACTTAATCTGGTTCATTTTCCTATCTGTACTATGAGGCATTAGGAAAAACACTTGCATTGCCGGAACCATGTAACCCAACATCTGTCAATTGACTAACTATATGATTCTTTGGTAGAGAGCAGATCATTAAACTAACTCTAGGCCAAGTGATGACAAGATGATTTAGAATCGAGCTCCCATGCTCACAAGCTGGAAAGTAGGAAATCATCACACTATAGCAGCAGAAGAACAAGTAGGAAATCATCACACAATAGCAGCAGAAGAACTAGCTCTCTGCCGAATTATGTAAAGCAACAGTTTTTGGTCGACGAAGTAGATGATTATCAATTTGCTAGTACACAGATCATTAAACCTAAATCTATCCCAATAAATGTTAAGGTGATTTTGAACAAAGCTCCGGCTTCCACAAGCTAGAGAGTAGGAACTCATCACACTATAACAAGAAAAGAACTAGCTCTCAGGCCAAAAACAAAAAACAGAAATGTATAGCGATGTTGGGGTGAAACGCTTACACTGAGTAGGACAGCAGTCTCCTGGGCATATGCATCTTTGAATGTCACATACGCAGTACAGGCGGAATCACCAGACCTGTCAATTCCACAGAATTAGAAAAGCCAAAACCCACAAAGAAATTCAACAGCTCGGAAGGAACAAGAAGAAAAAAGAAACCCAGAATGTTTCTTTCTTCTTGGTTTCTGTTTACCTGACGATTTCAATATGCAGAATAGCGCCGGAGAAGGCGAAGAAATCATGGACATCCTTCTCGGTGGCTTTGGGAGAAAGCCCCGTTACCTCAACAGCATACCCACCTTCGTGGCTCATGATCTCCACCCCAAGCAAAACTAGAAAGGTCAAGAAGAAACACACCAAGTCAAGCTTCCCCCAAATCCAAAACATTTTTCCTTCACAGCCTTGAACCAACAATTTAATTCACAACCCAAGTTGAGACGTACGCAGACGGTACCAGCTAGAACCAGAAAACCCCTCAATTTCCCGAAATCCTCTCGTAAACCCAAAATTGAATCAAAAGCTTGAATCTTCATCAGCTATCCTCTTTCTACTCATCGGTATGGAAAGAAGCCCACAACTTGAACACAATCGAACAGTAGGTAGGTGAATACCTTATTAGAGACCCGGCGATGGGAGGCGGGAGGATGCAATATGGAGTCGGGGGAGCTTAGCGTAGGAAGGAGGAAAGGAGGGACGACGAGACCAGTTGTTTGAAGCTTTTACTGGATAGTTGAACAATGATCGGATATTTGGTTATTTAGGGAATTACAATTTGGTACCTACAAGTTATATTTATTTTTATAGAACATATTATTGTCAAACTACATTTTGATACCTGAAATTTTTTTATCATATCATAGTTGCCTAACGAGATGGCTGTTACAAAACTGAATTCCTATCTGGGTACCAGCCGGCAGGCGGCAGCCGTTGTGAGGTTTGGCGGGCACTACTTCGTTGCTCCGTGGCTCCGTGCCAATGCAATTAGTGCAAAGCAAGCAGCTAAATCCAATTGAATTGCTATTGAAGCCGTTCTGAAAATGAGGTGAGAAGAGAATCAAAATTGGTACAAAATTATGTTCCACTCAATTTGCTTCATTTTTTAAATTATTGATGGAAGGCATACAAATTAGAAATTACAAGGTCTTTATGAAAATCATTCGTTGTGATGAGAACCTTTAGCAATTGTTGTGGTTGTTTAACCTCAAATTCATTATGTATTCTAAAAAAATCAGCTATAACAAGAAAGAAAAGTTAAATGTTTTTATCGAGTTCTGCTAAATTTTGGAAATGATAAAATTTGACGATAAAATATAAATGTGAGAATTTCGGGCTACCACTTCCAATGAAATAACTTGGATGTATACTGATGATAAGTGATCTTGATCATCTGCACAAGCATTATCCCAATTGGCCATGGTTATCGAATTTGTCCGTCGATACTCAAATCAATTAATGGGAAGATGTAAAAGAAAAGGTAAGGCGAATTCTAATTTGGAATTCCATAAGATAAGAGATAAAAAATGAGAGGAGTCTTATGGGTTTAGATGATCCAACGGCTAATAACATCTGGTCCTAAGCACACTCGTGGAGTCGTGGTCCTTGAAAATCCAATAAGCCTCTTTCAATGGTAGTTAAGGTTGTTTATAGTTGCATGTAGGGCCGCTAGGAACCTAAGGATGGACCACTCGGGTGCCTATCCAAGTATGAATGTATGTATGCTAACTCCCCGGATCTACGTGGACCTATAGGCCCAAATGTTGAGAGGACCAAACCTTTAGTTGCCTAGCCCAATGTACCATATCCTCATTAGTTTAGTTGTTGTTGTTGTTGTTTCCCTAGTTAATTTAGATAATCTTCTAACTGTAGACTAGATGATAAATTAAACTTTAGTATAAAATATTCAATATACATAGTTTCACATCGGATACCACCTTTGTTGATGTCGGAGTTCAAACTTTTTAAGTTGAAGACGATAGTTGATTGAACCTGATACACATATATATTATATTATAGTGAATGCTTGCAAAAAGGTCCTCCAACCCATGGTGGTAAGGACAACTTCTGATTCTCAAATTAGTGAGTGCTTTTGGATAAGAAGAATATGATCTAAGAAAAAGATGAGAGAATCGAGTTGAAAATCAACGTCTCCACTAATTATATTTTAAGTTTAAGGGGTCTAAGCATGCATTTTTCTACTTACACTTACATTGGAGATTTGGTGATCTTTTACGGTGGTCGTCGAGAGACCGTCAAGGGGTACGTCTCTTCGTCCATGAGCTCGAGTGAGGAAGAGGGCGATGAATTATGGGATTATGTGGGTGCGAGGTGATTGGCCCCTAAATGTATATTTGGTGAACCAAGGTTATTAAACCCAGGATTCCTAGAGTGACTCAGGGTACTTGACCCTATATGTGGTTACCTATGGTGACTGGCCATAAGGGTACGTGGTGACTCAAGGTGATTGCCCTAGAGGTGACTGAAGTGCCTCCAGGTGATTGGTTCAAGGGTGTTGGGTGACTTGGGTGATTAATATCAAGGGGTGACTGGAGTGACCCGAAGTGATTTACCTCAGGGGGAACGAGGTGATTGGTTCCAGGGCTAACAGGTGACCCAAGGTAATTCACCCCAAAAATATTGGGGACTCGATGCGATTCGGCCAAATGGTGTCTACCGATGCATACCTTCGTAAGCAAGGAGGGTTGTCGAGCTGCAACTATTTTTTGATATTTTCGTCAATTTTTTTTTAAAAAAAAATTGTTGTCTTCAATGTTGAACGAATGAGATTTTATAGCAACAAACACATTTTCAGTTAGGACTCTAATTGTGGTTCTTTCATTTTCATGGATGATGATCAACTAGTATGTAGATCAAAGTGATAACTAAGACATTAGATCTTTGAAGTGCATGTGTATGTAGTGATGTTAATGCAAACCAAATGCAATCAAAATTATAAATCGTAGAAATTTCTATGGTCGTATTCCACAAGCCTCTCCAATAATAGTTACTCACATAACTAATCATCTAATGCTCAAACAATGACTCAACAGAATTCGATGCATTGATGTTCCCTATGTTTAGTGATTACCGAGATGCATCATAAAGTAAAACATAATTTAAATGACATAATAAGTAAGTATACACATTGATAAGAAATCTAATCCTAGATGAACATGCTTTTCAATCTCCATAACGATAAGCTACGATGCATCTTCTATCATATATCTGTACCCTTCCACTTAGGGAGTGATAAAATACACACTATTTTATATTTCGGTATATATCGATCCCAATCTCGTAATCTCTAATACCGAATGACACTTGAAATGTAATTCCAATTCCAATCCCGATAAATAATATATATATTCCAATAATACCAAGTATCGATAAATTCTATACGGTATGCTAACAAGTAACAAAGGGGTCGTTTGGAAGTTGCGATTGTTAAATAGATGTATTGTTGAGAATGTGTGTATAATATTATACAAGTATTGTCGAATTTGATGCATTGTAGAATACAACGTTTGGTATGTGTGATTGTGTATGTCGCATCAGCTAAAAGCTGAGACAAAACAATCTCAACTCAACTATCTCAACAATCACAACTAAAAGTTGAGATATAACAATCACTCAAAATGAGTGATAGTTTCTCTCACATCATAGAAACAATCCATGTATTGTTTCTGCTAAAAAAAAAAAAAAACGATGCATTGTAAACAATACATGCATAATGACAATCTCAACAAAACAATCGCAACTTCCAAACGACCTCAAAGTGTCTAAGATGAGAGCGCAATCCTGGAAGTTTCCACCATGGAAGAAGCCAGCATCGTAGAGAAAAGAAAAATAAAACCCTATAATATATGGTGGGGTGAGGAGGAAAGGGGCCAGGCGGTGGTGGTGGGGGTAAAGTCACGTGCTTTTCCCATTAATCCTGTCAGCTTCCAAGATTTGACAACCATTTCTGGGTCCATCTTGCTGCTCTCTTTTCCACACCAAAAAAATTAAATATTCTGTTTGCACACTAATTCAGGATCTTCATTAATCCCTCTCTCCATATTTAACCTGCGAATCACATCTCTTCAGAGCTGATTACTGTACATAAAAATCAAATATAAAACTGACGCAGAAGTAAGCAGTAGCAGTCAGTCGTCCTGAATTTGAGATGCCAAATGTTGACCAGAATCCAGATCCCCGCCCAGCCCAGCCCAGCCCAGCGTTACTAACTGTCACTGTCACATCACCCAGCTACCACAAAATCCTAAGTACTGTCTTAATTATTAATATAAACACCCCCTCTTTTCCCGCTTCAAAACCATGACTAAAAATCCAGTCACAGCCAGCTAGCTACTACTCCATCGAATACGACCCATTGAATTTTGGTGGTTTATACACTATACGGTAGACTCACAAATAAGGAAGTGATGGAGATTTGTCCTTAACTACTACTTTCGTAGGTAATCATTGTTTAAATCCCATAACGAAATGAAGCTTTGTGTTATTAGTGCACTAATTGTCAATTCATTAGCGTGTCAAGAACCAGAAACCATCCAATCGTCAATGACAAAGAACGATGAACAATTGGTATCATACCATACAACTAAAACAGTAAAAAAAAACATTTATATACCGTAGGGCTACGAATACATAGTAAAAAAGCCAGGCAAAAGAGTTACACACAGGTAAGAGCCTAGCTACTTTCACTTTGATTTCCTCATTGTCAAACTAAGAAAAAGGCCCGGCACTTAATATCTTCGTCAAGATGGCCTACATACATACATATATGTAATATGTGTGTGACCACGTACGTAAAACATAGTAAAAACAGGAAAAGAAAAAAAAAAAGGGTTCCTACAGAGTGGTGGAAACCTTAATAAGTAGCTATATATGGTTAATAAAGTGGTGGGCGTGATCACATCACATTAATATTATGCGATAATCATTAATTAGCTGCTAATAATTAATTAATTATCAGGTGCTGACGATCGAGCAGTTGTACTGCGCTACTGGTGCATGAGCAAGCTCCTGATAATGGCGGCCTGGGCGCTGTCGGAATCGGTGGAGGCGAGCAGCTCCGACAGCCTCTCGCTGAGATCGTCCACCTCCCTGTGCAGCTCCCTTATGTAGCTGCACGTCTCTTGCAGCACATTCGAAGCCGAACCCTGTTAATCAAATCAATCCACGTTATAATCAGCCATTTCATTAATAACGAGCCATAACTAACCAATTAAAGAGATATATAATATGCATAATCGAACATTTCCAAACGACTCGAGTTACTGGCATTGTTAACAAAACGGTAAAAGGCATCGTTTTCCAACATTGGGAGCTCGGGCGCTAGGGAACAAAGGAGCCCCACGCCGACCCAAGTTGTGGGCAACATGCAAAAGAGATATCAGACAGATAATGCACAGATATGGGCCGTAGCATTCACGTTATAAATATTACGGAGAGCGATGGATATCGGCAGCAACCAAGCTAGGCGCGAAATTTTATTTACAATATACTCGGCATTCATTCATTCATTCTTCTTCTTGGCTTTTTTTTTTTTTTTTTTTTTATCTTGTAGCTACCAACAGAGACCACACAATAGTGTCGTTTTTGTAACGTTTGTAGAAGCAGTTTAAAGCACTGAAAAGTCACCGCAGGAGGAAGCTAAGTGGATAGACAAGAAATGTAATGCGGAGAATAACTCGAGTTAAGTTGTTGGAAAATGTTCAATTATATTAGATAAGAGAGAAGGATGAGGAGGAGGTGGTACCTTGTCGCGGGATCGGCGGGAGGAGGTGGTGGAGCGGGCTTCGGGGACGAGGCGCTGGAGCTTGGAGACGAGGTCGATGATTTGGTCGTCGGAGATGATGCTGCTGCTGCTCCTCGCCGACTGGCCGTGTCTCGACCTCGACGATCTTCTGCTCGACATTGTGTTAGCTGTTTTGTTTTGTTTTGTGGGTTTTCTGAGTAATGCAGAGAAAGAGAAAGAGAGAGATGAAGTAAGGAAGGAAGGAAGGAAGCTAGAAGAAGGGAGTTGGAAGGAAGGAAGAGGGGGACAAGTGCATGGGAAGAAGCTGTGGGCTAATTGAGAGAGGGGAAGGGAGTATTATAAATAGAGATGAGTGATGTACTCTATTTTTTTCCTCCTTTTTGCGTTTGTTTTTGAAAGACAAGAATTAAACAAGTGTGAAAAGGAAGGAACGAAAGAGAGAGAGAGAGAGAGAGTGACGTGAATAATCATAATATTATTATTAGTTAGTAAATATTTATATTGACTCTATTCTCCTGTATTTATATTTTATAGGAAGGATGAGTACAGATTAGGAGTATGAAACTAGTTAACTAGTAATTAGAAGCTATTAATGATGTAGTAGTAGTAGTAGTAGTGTGTTCTTCTTGTATTCTTGTTTTGTACCTCACCGCCGCACCGACTCTCGTTTCAGCTCGTGGATCGGAAATGTGCTCTGATTGATTGTTGGCTTGGGTGTGTGTTGGTCTAAGCAATCTCTTGTTTTGTATGACACTCTCTTTGTAAACTACGTACCAATTAATTAATTGGTTTCAAAGAGTGTATACATATGTTAGTTATTAACCATTTGTTCATGAAGACCGAATATAACGCCAGCTTCGACAAAAAAGAGCTTAAACCTTATTTTCCTAACAAATAATAAAATAATAAAATCTAGATGCACGTAAAGAAATTAGGGCTAATTTCATCAGGACACTTTAACTATAAACAAATGACATTTTTATCTTCAAGTATTCAAAATGACATTTTTATCTTCATATTTAATATTTGAGAATATAAGTGCTATTTTCTTAAATTTGGGGTGTTCTAGTGGAATTATCCCAATAAATTCTAACAGTTTGATTGTGGCGTGAATTTAGATGAGTTCATTTTCATATGCATGTAGGAAATTCTCCATACAACTCTTCTCGAATGCATAGTTGTTTCTGTCCAACTTGAGTGGGCGAGTGGATGAGTGGTCCTCCATCTAACTGGTCGGCGGGAGATGACGCTTTATTATTATTGAGGAAGATGTTGCATCCATCTTGACACGAACTCGTCAGAGACCTTCTCTGATACCATTTTAAAAATGACAGAGGGAGATTAATTGATTTAAGCCAAATGATGATAAATGAAGGCGAGAAGACGATCTTTGAAATGACGAGATGACATAGTCATTACTGGACTCGTCGGTTGGGTTTTGATATAGGCTCAACTTAGACGTGGCTCAATCCTTGGTATACGACCCATAAGTGAAGCCCACGAGTTGTGCTACTCTAAAGAATAATTTTCCAACTTCACAGACTTCTACAAAGGAAAGGTTTCTGGAAAACAGAATAATTTTCCACGGTATTTTTTGTTAACTGAGTTTAGCCTGTTGCTTATGTCTCGGCTTAATGGCGTGTGCCCTTTAAAACCTAGTTTCCTAAGAATGTGTCTAATTGATATTCTAACTCTAAGTTGAGTTCCTTCTGGCGGAACTCAAACCTCTTTTACAAAACAAGAGTTGAGATCACAATTCTCTCTTCCTCGCAAGCTAAATGCTAAAAAGGGAATCTCACTCATCACTACACTCAAGCCATATAGAACAACTAGATTTATAATCACAGAGTTGTAGTTTCGAATTGCTCTTGATCTCACCACAACTCTTTCCACATTCTTACACATTGCACCTTTCTCTCTTGCTTTTTATACTCTCCTTTTTGATTCACAACGACTAGCTCCTTGCATCTTCCTCTATTTTTTTTGACAAATTGCATCTTCCTCTATATGTGTTGACTTGTCTTCCTCCTAGGGGTGGCTATACGGTCTGGTCCGGTTAAATTGGCCCAAATTGATCCGGTCCAGTCCGGTTTTTTTGAAAATATAAGGACCGAAGATTGGATTGGATACAGTCCGGTCTTGATCCGGTCCGGTCTTGACCCAGTCCGGTCCCAATTTGGTCTTGATTTTATATTGAGATTGTGGGAATTTGAGTGGCCTAAGGCCTAAAAGGGTGAGGAGTTGGTTAAGTTTTGTACTAAGTGCAAAGGTTTGTGACCGTTTATGCAAATTACTCTTAAGTTTTGGGTGTTGAGCTCTCTTATCCGGTCTTTATCCGGTTTTTTACCTCAAATCTAAGCACAAAGATTGGATTGGATTGTTTACTATCCGGTCCCGGTCCGGTCTCGGTCCGGGTTATACGGTCCGGTTTCCGGTTTTTCATCCGGTCCCGGTCCAAATAGCCAGCCCTACTTCCTCCCCCTTAGGCATTGGTTGCCACTTGCCACAAGAGGCATGGCCATCGTAAGTTTCTTGGCCACGTTGAATCCAAATGTTAATTAAATTCTCGCGATCCAATTACTTCTTGTATTAAACCAATGTAATACGAGCAAGTGTAAACCGAACCTTCGATCGATGCTAAGAATTTCAGGTATAAAAATTATATTATATTTAAAATATTCTAACAGTTTGAGTTATTGGAAGAGTAAATGTTATAAATTACTAAAAATAGTAGTGTATGTGGTGGTGGGGAGGGGAGTGTGCCCTAAAGAGGAGGGTAGGGGAGTGTGCACATGTAAAAGTTTGGGGATAATGTTAGGCCGGCCGGCCCGGGAATCATAAGATTGAGGTATGGGGATGAAAGAGCCTACGGTTTTCTGTCAATAATTAACCTAACCAACCAGCACTCGACCCGCTCCCTCCCTCCCTCGTAATCTTCTTCACCGATTTCATTTGCTAATATATATATATAACATATCGGTTTAACCGTTTGGTTTGTTATACAAAACAAAACAGATAAGATTGTGGAGATATACGCCATATGTAAAACGGATATGGTAGCTAGAGAGATAGAGAGACAAAAACAATTTTGGTCCAGGAAAGCCTTGCGAATCCCACCCTCTCCCTCTTGTTACTTCAGTTTTGTCATCAACTGCTCTCTTGTAATATATACACTCTCCTGATATGAAAACAAAAAATTAAATAACTAAAAGAGCATGCCACAAAGAAACACTGATAAAATGATAAATTTGGTGACAATATACTCCAAATATTGGGGGAGGGGGGTGAAATGTGCATACTATTTGCCTTATCTCAACTTTTTTGTTTTTTGTTTTATAAATGTGCATGTTCATGATATCTCAATTATAACGATGAATAATATATTAGCGTTATTAAATATCCGTCATGACAATAGTCTAGTGTTCTGGATGGCATTCCGTGCTAAGATCCATTTGGTTCTAATAACTCGAGTGGTAGAGAAATGTTAAATAATGGATCTTATACCACATACTAACATGTTCCTACAAACGAAAGTCACTCATATGGGTTTGTAGTTTGCACAGGTCCAGAACATCACGTGCTTAATAAATGGGGTCGATCGTCGATCGGGATTCGAACGGAAAACCTTTTGATCACGGAAGGAAGGCTCTGCTACCATGTTGATGATTATATCAAATTGAATGCACTGGAACGAACGGAAACAAAAACGAACGCGACACACGATTTCACGTGGTTTCCCCGAGATCGAAACTATTCCACAGGAGAGTATGAATTCCTAGAGTTATTGATGAGCTGATTTTTTTTTATACAAATCGAATGTCCTTTATGTTCACGAATATGAATTAAACTATTTACCCACCCATGATAAGAAAACCAGTGACCCAGGCAGCACTTGTGTAGTGTATAACATTGTTCAGAGTTCTGCTCTAGGACGACTTAGGGGCGTGATGCGTGGAAATTTTTGAGGTGGCCAGGCGGCGGTAGCTTTGAGATACGAAATTAAGACGCATATTTTGCTGAGTCCAAATGAAAAAGAGCAAAATGGCGTAATTAAGTTGCATGACATTGTTGACCGACCATATCCACAGAGACCACACCCCATTTATTTTTGTTTCGTTGTTTTTCACGTACCCATACTTCAATCCATCCATCCATACAGTTTATATTTAAGCAATGACACGTGTCGCCTCGTGATGCCGGTTCTCTGAACTCTGCCTCTTTTTGGCCGCTCTCTCTCTCTCTCGTCAAAGTATTTTGAGTTCCGAAGGAAACCCTCATAATGGACTGAATAGTGTAAAACGGATAATATTGTAGAAAGATCGAAGAGGAGAAACCAAAGGGATAGGTTGTTCGATCGGCCATAACGTAACCGTCCTTCAAGTATATATATTTCTATCGAACTGCCACTGTTCCCATTGACCCGACCGCAACGAGAAATAGATTGATCAGTGCCGTAACATAACGAACTTTTAACACCCGTAGTCCTCGTAACCTCAGAGCCGTTTCTGTGCATCTTATTCAAACAAAAACTAATTTAAGTACTGTGGCCAAAAACCTAAGTCAGATCAATGAAAGAATGGAAAGTTGTCTGGATTCATGTAATATCCCACTTCCTGTGGTTCAGGAGGTTTTTGGGTTGGCCAAGTAATTCCATGTTATCAGTCATAGATCACGACCAAATTAAAAGTGTGAATAACGATCTCTCTCGGTCTTGTGGGCGTTTACCGTTATATTTATGGAAATGTCTATGTAATATAGTATGGCGGTTTATATGGGACCGGTCCCCGTCTTTATTTGCTCAACGTTTAAATAATCAAATTTGAGTCATTCATTTTAAGTGGCGCTAGATCTAAGTGAGATTAAATGATTTTTAATGACTTTTATCTTTTTATTTTAAACTTTGGATTTTAATTTTTTTTTAAAGATAGCACGGAAACTTTGTGATCTACAAAATAATATCAATTTCATTATTTTTTGAGAATTTCCTTTTCATTTACCCATACCACTCATTACCACCTTTGTTTTTAATTAGAAGTTTGATTTTTTTTTTTTTTTTGCTCAGAATGAAGGTGTTCATTATGATATATTAGATCTACAAATTACTGAGGAAAAAATATTCAAGACCAAATATACCACCCTATATCATCAATTCATCACGGTATATGGTGGTAACTTGTGGTAGACGGTGATGAAAAGTGATAAATGGTCATTTAAGTAATATTCCTACTATTATGCATGCAACCATTCTACATTTTGGTATATCATACCACCATAATACACTTTCATACAACGTGGTATAATCTTATGTACTATTAAACATTATCACATGGTATAGACCAGTAATAAATGTCTCCATTTTTCTTTGTTCCAAAATATATAAAATTCGATATCATTTTGAAGAGCACAATTAGTATGATTTTCTGTGGAAAAAGATTCAATTATGATTTAA